ATATATGTCTGTATATATATATGTCGGTGTGTGTATATATCTGTGTGTGTGTATATATATGTTCGTGTGGTGCATGTATATATATTTCTCTGTGTGTATATATGTCTGTGTGTGTTATATGTCTGTGTGTGTCAGTGTGTATATATATGTCTCTGTTTGTATATATATGTGTGTCTGTGTGTGTATGTACATTGTGTGTCTATATTTCCGTGTGTGTGTGTGTGTGTGTGTTTGTAACTCCTCATTCCTTTGCGTTTCTCTGGGGTACATTATTGTCAAGCACAAGTTTCCCTCCATGTTGCTTAGGGGATTAGGACACAGATGAGTTAGCTGCAGAGTCTCTTTTGAGATGTTTCATTTAAAAAATATGTTTTGGCCCCCCGATTCCCTGGGTCCCTTGTGTCTTCCCCTGTGGCGGCCTTGAAAAGCCTTTCTCAGAATCCTTGAGCGTGAAATAAAGACTTCCAGGTGCTGTCGTGTAGGTGACAGCTGTAGTCCCCCACAAAAAACGCATCTGTCCAGGTCCGGGAGATCCTGGTCAGAATCTCTGTGGCCTCCAGGAGGGAAGGAAGCTTTCGTTACCTCCAGCCCTCTCCAGAAGATGGATTGGACGGCCCCAGATAAGTTAATGAAAAATATTAAGTTTGGGTGATGGGGTGGGGGTTTGGGGGGGTGTCCCATGTATGTCACGTCCCGGTGTGTCTGTCTGCCTGGGACCTCTCGTACGTCCCCGGCTGTTGATGGACGGTTTCTATAAAATAAATTACTCGTAATTTAATTCCACACTATTTCTTTCCGTAGTCTATTACCTTACAACTGTGGCACAAAATTGGTGACAGTGGGGTGTGTCTGCACCCCCCTTCCACCCCGTAAAATAAACACACTTCGGGGGGAGACAGCCAGGGCTATCGATCCTGGAGGTCCAGGGAAATTAACCCTGGTAAATAATCATAATAATAATAGTAACAGATATGGGAACGGAATGAAAGGCATCATTCTCCGTGGCCCGCAGGGAGAACTGTCCAGTCGTAAACGTTGGCCAGCAGGGTTCAGGTCCTCCTGGAAAAAAGCAATTGGTTCAAACAGGGATATCACTCCCCCCCCAACCCACACAGTGGAAGGTGTCAAGGGTGGAAGGGACCGGGTCCAGGAGGGATATTTTATTTTATTTTTATTTATTTAGGTTTTGGAGAGACGGAGTTTCGGTCTTGGCACGCTGGCTGGAATGCAATGGCGTGATCTCGGCTCACCACAACCTCCGCCTCCTGGGTCCAGGGAATTTTTCCTGCCTCGGTCTCCCAGTAGCTGGGATTACGGGCACGCGCCACTGTTCCCAGCTAATTTTGTGTATTTTTAGTAGAGACGGGTTTTCACCATGTTGGTTGAGCTGGTCTCGAACTCCTGACCTTGTGATCCACCCACCTCGGCCTCCGAAAGTGCTGGGATAACACACGTGAGCCATGGCACCTGCCCAGCACCTTTTTTCATTTGCCTGCTTGCAATTTTTAAAAAGCGACAATAAGTAGTTACTTTACACAGGTGAAAACTACTTTTTTTTGTTTGTTTTTGAGACGGAGTTTTGCTCTTGTTACCCAGGCTGGAGTGCAATGGCGCGATGTCGGCTCACTGCAACCTCTGCCTCCTGAGTTCAGGCAATTCTCCTGCCTCAGTTCCCCCAGTAGCTGGGATCACAGCCACCGCCACCATGCCCGGCTAATTTTTTTTGTATTTTTAGTAGAGACGGGGTTTCACCAAGTTGGCCTGGATGGTCTCGATCTCTGACCTCGTGATCCACCCGCCTCGGGCCTCCCAAAGCGCTGGGACGAGGAGGGATATTTTAGTCCCAGGGATCTCAGAGTACTTGGGTCCCCTCTCTGGGTACAGCGTGTCCCCCGCTCTCAGCCGATAGAGTTTTCAATGGAGTGTGGGACTTCGCGGGTCGTCATTAACCTTTTATTTTTAGTGGTGGGTGTTGGTGGGCGGGGGGTGGTCTCGATCTCTTGACCTCGTGATCCACCCGCCTCGGGCCTCCCAAAGCGCTGGGACGAGGAGGGATATTTTAGTCCCAGGGATCTCAGAGTACTTGGGTCCCCTCTCTGGGTACAGCGTGTCCCCCGCTCTCAGCCGATAGAGTTTCAATGGAGTGTGGGACTTCGCGGGTCGTCATTAACCTTTTATTTTTAGTGGTGGGTGTTGGTGGGCGGGGGGTCTTTGGAAACTCATATCGCCCAGCTGTCAGCGTTGTAATGGAAAGTTATGAGAGCGCGGTGAGTGGCCAGCCCGTGATTTCATTACAAACAGCCACCTCCGGGTTTATGGCGCATGGCTAAATTAAATGTCATTATTTACTGTCTCTAATGGAAATCAAAAGGAAATCGCTTTACTGGTGTTTGTGGAAGGAATCCGTGACTGCCTCTTAATGAAGAAATAAGTCTCTAAAACAGTGTAACACACTTCGCTTTACCATATTCGGGCCTAATTGGACTTGATCCCGAATCACTCACTCCAGCCTTGATTTATGAGCATCTCGCCAAGCACCTAATTCATCACGTTTATTTTTCAGAATCATTATTTCCGCCCCCACACCCCGCCTCGCTTTTGGAAAGGGAGACGCAACCAGGATTTCCAGATTTCAGGAGGATTTTTTTTTTAATGGCCTTCCTGGGGCTTCCTTGCCAAGCAGTGCAGGGGCAGTGTGCTTTGGGGTGTCAAGGCGGGCTTTGGAAACAGGGCAATGGTGGGTGAATTTCAATGTTATAGCCCAGGCTGGGGATTTTTTTTTTTTTTTTGATGGGGGTGTCAGGAGGATTTGCTGGGCAAAAGGATAACGTTTTCATCCCGGCGGGAGTCACTTACGGACTGAAAATGTTATTCCGAAACCGCTGAGGGATGCTCCGTCCTGGTTCGAGACCACGTTGTTTCGCCTCCAAACTCCCAGGGATTTCTGAGGTTCGATTTACAGGGGCGCCGGCCCTGGGCTCTGCACGGCCGGGGGCGATGGCTGCCGGTTTTTGCCCAGAACAGCTGGAACTGCTGGGACGCTCACCCGCCTTGGCTAAGGGTCCCCGTCTCTGCACAAACAATTTTTCTTGTGCACTGGAGTGTGGGTCTGCTTGCAGGTCGGGCTGCCACAGAAAACCTGTGAAACGGAATCCAGGGACTGACACTGCCAAGGGGGTGCTGTGGGGGGCGCCGGAGGGAGCCTAAGTTCCCCGCCTTTCCCAGCTGGTCAGCTTGGGGCAGAGGGGACTCTGAATTCCAAGCCTGTGGGAGGCCAGGGGTGGAATCTGCACCCAAGTCTTGACATGAGGCCTGTGATTTTCCCCAGGCTCCTCGGGTGGGGCGGGGAATCCCCTGTTCTGCTGCACCCCACTTTGTCGAGGCTTCCCCCGAGACTCAGAAGGCGTAACAGGAGCACAACGCCCCTATTGCCACAGCCTGCTATTCCTGGGTGGGAACCTCTCCAGGATGTTCACGACTCCCATAATATGAATGGAGTCCCTTCAGCTCCCCAAGGCTTCCTAGGAGGCCATGGGGAAGGGAAACACGTTTTCTGGGCTCCAGGGACTCTTAAGCCATCGGCTCGCCCACTGCCTTGCTGGGTAAAGTGTGAAGGTCGAAAGCCGGGGTTTTTCTCAGGGTCTCCAGGCATCGGGAGTCCGGGTGCCCACCCAGAACGCTGCGAAGTTGCAGAGTGCATGTTTCATGTCTCAGAATACAACTTTCATTTTAAATTAATCGGTATTGACTCACACGTGTCAGTTACTTGGGGCAGAGAGTGTTTGAGGCCAGCCTCAGTGGCCCACGCCTGTCATCCCAGCACTTGGGAGGCTGAGGCCGGCAGATCAGTTGAGGTCCGGAGTTCGAGACCAGCCTGGCTAACATGGAGAAATCCCGACTACTCTCTAAAAATAGAAAAAAATAAAAATAAATCAATTAGCCGAGTGTGGTGTGGGGGGAGCGTCTGTGATCCCAGCTACTCGGTAGGCTGATGCAGGAGAATCGCTTGAACCCGGGAGGGAGAGTTTGCAGTGAGCGGAGATCGGCCATTGCACTCCAGCCTGGGCGACAGAGCGAGACTCTGTGTCAAAATAAAATAAACCATGAAAACAAAATTAAACAAACAAACGTTAAAAAGAAAATCCCCATAAATTCCAGTTCTAGGTAGGCAGTTATGCATGGGTGGATACAGAGGGTCCATAAGGGGCTGACACCCCCATCCCCCGTCGGTTACCTCCAGGCTCCCAGAGGTGCAAAAGTGCTCCGTGCAGCCTGGCAGGGAGGGTGCTCCCTGTCCAGGCCCCGGGCTGAATCCTGACACCCTTGTGCAAACTCTGTCTGCCTTCCCACCGAGGTGTGGTTCCAGAATAGAAGAGCCAAGTGCAGGAAACAGGAGAATCAGATGCATAAGGTGGGTGTCGGGGATTGGGGGTGGGACCCCGAAGCTGGTGGGGGGGTGGTGGTGGTGGTGGGGCCTTCCTGGGGGGACCCCCCCCACACACTCACGCCTCTTCCTTTTCACCACAGGAGTCATCCTGGGCACCACCAACCACCTAGACGGCTGCCGAGTGGCACCCTACGTGAATATGGGAGCTTTGCGGATGCCTTTCCAACAGGTAGCTGGTTTTTCTTCCTCTGAAAAACCCCGGGGACCCGTTGCCTCCTCCTCTGCTGCCCGGCCCCCGCCCCCCACTGACTCCCAAATTCTAACACTCCCGGCTCCTCGGCTAGCCCTGCGGAGCGGGAGGCAGTGGCTTTTCCAAGGGAGCATTTAGAGGCGTCTTGGCACGTATTAAATCAGGCTAGACTGGGCGCGGTGGCTCCTGTCTGTCATCCCAGCACTTTGGGAGGCCGAGGCGGGTGGATCACCTGAGGTCGGGAGTTCGAGAGCAGCCTGACCCACACGGTGAATCCCCGTCTCTACTAAAAACACAGAAATTAGCCGGGCGTGGTGGTGTCACGCGCCTGTCATCGCACCTACTTGGGAGACTGAGGCAGGAGAATCGCTTGAACCTGCGGGGGGACGGAGGTTGCGGTGAGCTGATATGACACCAATTTACTCCAGCCTGGGGACACAGCAACACTCTGAGAAAAGAAAAAAAAAATAGATATATCACGCTGTAAACTCCAAGGGCCTCCTTTGGAAAGGTGAACATACACAAGCTTCAGCAGAAATCTTACAAAAATCAGAGTGGTGAGAAATCCCACCCCGCCAGGCATCGCCCCCCGCAACCCCACCTGGCTGTCTGCCTGGTTAAGAAATGTGGGATGCCTGGGCCTGAGGATCAGAGATGGGATAGAGCCTTGGGGACCTGGTGTTCTGGGGAGAGAGGATTGGGTAGCTGGCATCCCAGAAAGAGGCTTGGGGAGCTGGTGTTCCCGGGAGACAGGATTGGGGAGCTGGCATCCCAGAAAGAGGCTTGGGGAGCTGGTGTTCCCGGGAGACAGGATTGAGGAGCTGGTGTCCCAGAAAGAGGCTTGGTGACCTGGTGTTCCCGGGAGACAGGACTGGGGAGCTGGTGTCCCAGAAAGAGGATGGGGGAACTGGTGTTCCCGGGAGACAGGATTGGGGAGCTGGCTTTCCAGAAAGAGGCTTGGGGAGCTGGTGTTCCCGGGAGACAGGATTGGGGATCTGGTGTCCCAGAAAGAGGCTTGGGGAGCTGGTGTTCCCGGGGGACAGGATTGTGGAGCTGGTGTCCCAGAAAGAGTCCTGGGGAGCTGGTGTTCCTGGGATACAGGATTGGGGAGCTGGCATCCCCTCGTGAAACTCATGTCCCTTTCACTAATCCCTCAAGTGCCCGAAGGCCTGGGGCGTCTACCCGGCTCCTGCTGCCCCCCCACTTCCGTCCTGGGCTGTGCACCTCTGAGCTGGTAACACCCTGCTCAGCTCCCAGCCGACTTGGGATTGGGTGTGTGTGTGGCGGGGATTTGGGAACTGCGTGGAAGGGGGTGCAGGGTTTTGGGACAGTGCCCACTTGCGCCCTGGCTGGACGCAGCACGGCTGCCTTGGTTTCCAATTTGGGGGTCGAGACTGCAAGCCTGGGTGAAACGGGGCTGGGGGCACACAGCGGGGACGCGTGGTCTCCGTTCTTGACCGTTTTATTCCAAGGGGACAAGTCGGCGTTTTTTATTCGCGCGCTCGTTTGCCGAAGGGCGTCAGGTCCCAGACGTCTGGCCTCTGCCTCTGCTGGCTGAGGGTGGAGGGCCATGGGGTTGGCGCTGGGAGCTGCAGGTATAAAGCTGTAAATCGTAAATGAAAAATTCAGAAATGGAGCCCGAGCGGGAGCTCTCCAAGTCTCCACGGCTCAGGCCCGAAGAAGTGGGGTCCGCGTCCCTCCTGTTCTCCCCTCCTGGGCATGTGGCCTCCAGGCTGGGGACAGAGCCCACCTCTTGCACAGTCTCTGGGATGCAGGACCGGGTCAATGAGGCCGCTGGAGCCTGCAGGCCTGCCTGGCTTTGCGCAATGGAGCCTTGGGGAGCTGGTGTCCCTGGGGGAGAGGCTTGGGGACCTGGTTTCCCTGGACCAGGCTTGGGGAGCGGGTGTTTCCGGGAGAGGCTTGGGGCAGCTGATGTCCCCGAGGAGACGCTTGGGGACCTGCTGTCCCTCGGGGAAAGGCTTGGGGACCTGGTTTCCCTGGAAGAGTCTTGGGGAGCTGGTGTCCATAGGGAGAGGCTTGGGGACCTGCTGTCTCTGGGGAGAGGGTTGGGGAGCTGGTGTCCCCCCACATCCCAGGCTTGGGGACCGGCTGTCTACAGGAAGAGGCTTGGGCACCTGATGTCTCTAGGAACAGGCTTGGGAAGCTGTTGTCCTTAGGAGAGGCTTGGGGACCTGATGTTCCCAGGAGAAGCTTGGGAAGCTGGTGTCTCCGGGGAGAGGGTTGGGGAGCTGGTGTCCACGGGAGAGGCTTGGGGACCTGACCTGATGTTGCCAGGAGAGGTGTGGGGAGCTGGTGTTCCCTACTTGGGGGCGGTGGGATGAGCCGCTGTCCAGACCCTGAATCCCGGGAAACAGAAGGCATCTTGAACTCCCGGGTGGGTGCCCCGATGTGAACCCTACTCCGATGCGCTTTTCGGGGAGCTGTTTGGATTCCCCTGGCCCAAGCTAGTCTGGAAGTCAGCACCAGCTCTGGGCCGGGGGAAAGAGGACAGTCAGATGGGGGTGTGGCTTGCAGAGTTGGAGAAGGGATGACGCTCTGCGGGGGAGAGGAGACGCGTTGGGGGGCTTGCAGGGGGGGAAGGGTTCCCCAATCCCCAATCCTGCGCCCTCACCCCGCCCGGGTCCGCTTCGCAGGTCCAGGCTCAGCTGCAGCTGGAAGGCGTGGCCCACGCGCACCAGCACCTGCACCCGCACCTGGCGGCGCACCCGCCCTACCTGATCTTCCCCCCGCCGCTGTTCGGGCTGCCCATCGCGTCGCTGGCCGAGTCCGCCTCGGCCGCCGCCGTGGTCGCCGCGGCCGCGAAGAGCAACAGCAAAAACTCCAGCATCGCCAACCTCCGGCTCGAGGCGTGCAAGGCCGCGGAGGCCCTGGGGCTCTGACCCCAGCGCGCCGTCCTCCCCGCCTTTCGCGCCTGCGGACTCTGGGGCCCCGCGCACCCAGCCTGCACAGCGACCTGCACTCCAACTCCCCTTCGAGCTCCTCCCGCGGCCCGCAGTCCTTCTGAACCCCAGGGTCTCTTCAGTGGTTCTGCACCCCGGGGGCTCCTCAGTGCACTGGCACCCGCGTGCTCTTGCACCCCGGGGGATCCTCTGTGCTTCTGAAACCTGGAGTGTCCTCAGTGCTCGTGCACGCCAGGGGCTCCTCCGTGCTCCTATAACCTGGGTGCTCCTGCACCCTGGAAGCTCCTCATTGCACCGACACCCTCGTGCTCCTGCACCCTGGGGGCTCCTCTGTGCTTCTGAAACCTGGGGGGTCCTCAGTGCTCGTGCTCGTGCACCCCGGGGGCTCCTCCATGCTCCTATAACCTGGGTGCTCCTGCACCCTGGAAGCTCCTCATTGCACCAGCACCCTCGTGCTCCTGCACCCCGGGGGCTCCTCTGTGCTTCTGAAACCTGGGGCGCTCCTCAGTGCTCCTGCACCCCAGGGGCTCCTCACTGCTTCTGCACCCCCGGGGCTCCTCATTGATTCTGCACCCCAGGGGCTCCTCTGTGCTTCTGAAACCTGGGGTGTCCTCAGTGCTCGTGCACCCCGGGGGCTCCTTCATGCTCCTATAACCTGGGTGCTCCTGCACCTTGGAAGCTCCTCGTTGCACCGGCACCCTCGTGCTCCTGCACCCCGGGGGCTCCTCTGTGCTTCTGAAACCTGAAGGGTCCTCAGTGCTCGTGCACCCCGGAGGCTCCTCCATGCTCCTATTACCTGGGTGCTCCTGCACCCTGGAAGCTCCTCATTGCACCGGCACCCTCGTGCTCCTGCACCCCGGGGGCTCCACTGTGTGCTTCTGAAACCTGGGGTTCTCCTCAGTGCTCCTGCACCCCAGGGGCTCCTCACTGCTTCTGCACCCCGGGGGCTCCTCAGGGCTCCTGCACCCTGGGGGCGCCTCAGTACACTGGCACCCTCGTGCTCCTGCAACCAGGGGGGCTCTTCTGTGCTCCTGAAACCTAGGGGAGGGCTCCTCAGTGCTCCTGCACCCCAGGGAGTCCTCCGTGCTTCTGCAACCCTGGGGCTCCTGCACCCCAGGGGCTCCTCAGTGCACTGGCACCCACCTGCTCCTCCAAGCTGGGAGTTCCCGCAAGAGACCTGGGGAGGGAGCTCCTGGGACGGTCCATGAACGGAGATGGTGCAGGAGGTGGAGGGGGTGAGCCGCCGTGTGCCCTGCCCGGCCCCTCTCCAAGGCCCCTCATGCGTCCTGGGACCCTGGAGAAGGGGAACCCCGCACCCACCTGGCTGCGTCCTCCTGCGCTAAACACCCTCTATGCATGCGGATAAGTACACACCCACCTTTGGAAGATCTTACCGTCGAAGAAACTGCAAAGGTCCCAGGGCTGGTCTCCTATGGAAACGCCATTTCTTCGTTGCCAAGGATTTCCTACACCCTCCCTCATCCAAGGAACTGCAGAACCGGTGTGGATCTGAATGTGGACTTTGGAACCCCAGGAGGCAGGCGCTGGGTTCCCCTCCACTACCCCCCATCCGCCCAGACAGCAATAAGGAAACAGTTCTCAGGCTAAGGCTGAGGACGTGAACTTGGCTTGGAAGGGGAGGGGAGGGAGACTCGAGCCTCCCACGTTGCGAGTCTTCCACCTTCTGGGGACCTGAATGAGGAGGGTGAACTCTCAGCCAACATAGCGGGCCCCACAGCGTGGGATCGGGTCGGGGTCTCTTGTGGCACAGAAGAGGCGACTTGACAAGTTTTTCCAGTACTTGAATCCCACGTCGAGTGGGATTTTCGGTTTCGGTTTGGTTTGTTTGTTTGTTTGTTTGTTTTTTTTGCTGATGTACAGAATTCAGAATTTTATGCAAATGACTTGCCCGAGACACAGATAGACACAGCGTGGTTTTAAGTTTTAATAGTGATGCAGCATTGACTTGAATGGAATGGAATGACTTGCAATATTATAAATATTATAGATTTAAAAGAAAAAAAATTAATCATACAAGGCTGGGTGCAGTGGCTCATGCCTGTCATCCCAGCACTTTGGGAGGCCGAGGCGCGTGGATGTGAAACCCTGTCTCTAGTAAAAATACAAAAAATTAGCCGGGCATGGTGGCGCGTGCCTGTAATCCCACCTACTGGGGAGGCTGAGGCAGGAGAATTGCCTGAACCCAGGAGGCGGAGGCTGCGGTGAGCCAGGATCGCGCCATTGCACTCCAGCCTGAGTAACAAGAGCGAAATTCCGTCTCAAAAGAAATAGGCATTGCCTCTTCTCAAAGTGCTGGTGGCCCGGCCACTCCGGGCCCGTTGCAGAAATCACGGTGTGGACATGGCCCTGGGCGCAGTGGAAGCGTGGCCGACTCTCCGAAGGCGATAAAACAGAGCAGGGGGTGCCGGGCTGTGAGTTTGGCACAGGACATGTTTCTTCTGCTTGGGAAGGGTAAAAGCTAGAGACAGATCCACAGGGTTTGAAGGTTTTTGGAGATGTGTGTGTTTCCAACTTTGACGTTCAGCTTTTCTTCCTTCCTAACTTTTCTTTCTGTTTTTTTTCTTTTTGTTTTTTTTTTAAATTTTTTTTATTTTGACACAGAGACTTGCTACGTAGGCCAGGCTGGAGTGCAGTGGTGAGATCTGAGAGAACACTCTCCACCTTCTCATTGGGCTGAAACGCGGCTACATTTGGACCTGGGTAATTTGTATCTTCTGATAACTCTTTTTTTTTTTTTTTGGTGATATTTCATCTCAATAGAAAACAAAACAAAAAAGAGTAACTTTGCTGATTATTTAAGACCTTAGTTCTGAGCTACTTATGTTTTCTTTTCTTTTTTATTTTAATCGCATTTTAGGTTGCTGATAACTCTTTATACACACCAAAAACCCCCTTCATTATTTTTTTAATTAAAAAAATATTAGGACAGCTGTAAAATGACAGAGAGACAGAGAAAGACAACGCACAGTCAGTGTTTTTAAATCGCCTGCCGCTTCTCTTAATCCGGGGGTTGGAGAGTTTGCCTCATTCAAACAGTTTTCTTTTTAAAAACCTAGGAATTAAAAAAAAAAAAGACAGGGAAAGAGAGGGTTTTATCGTGAAGCTGAGATTTTTATTTAAAAGAAGAATTGCATTTTGGATCTTTGAGATATAGCTTCATTCATCAGAGTCTGAAACACTTGGGAAAAACGCTTATATAGCGTCGTGTTCATCTATCTATCTATCTATATTTTTATATATATATATATATATATATATATATTTATATATCTGTTTATATATATTTAAATGTATATATAATATGTATATATATATATTTTTTTTCTCCCCATAACGGCTTAGTTTTGAAAAATGGAAACATAACCGTCTGTCATAATTTCCCCTCAACTAGAATCTCACTCCACGTGAGTAGAAATGGTGTCTGTAGAATCGGATCTTTGTTTTTTAAGCTTTTTTTCTTTTTGAGACGGAGTTTCGCTGTTGTCCTCCAGGGCTGGACTCAGCTCACCGCATCCTCCACCTCCCAGGTTCTCATCCTGCCTCAACCTCCCAAGTAGGTGGGATCACAGACACCCACCACCGTGCCCGGTTTTTTTTTTTTTTTTTGTATTTTTACAGAGATAGTATTTTGCCTTGTTGACCGGGCTGGTCTCAAACTCCTCACCTCCGGATCTGCCCGCCTCGGCCTCCCAAAATGCTGGGATGACAGGTGTGAGCTGCTGCGTATGTCCTGAATCTGAACTTCTAAAATAGACTTAACTGGGCCGGGTACTGTGACTTATGCCTGTAATTCCACCGTTTTGGGAGGCCCAGGCGGGTGGATCATGAGGTCACGAGTTCAAGACCAGCCTGGCCAAGATGGTGAAACCCTACCCTGTCTCTACTATAAAAATACAAAAATTGGCCAGGTATGGTTGTGAGTGCCTGTAATCCCAGCTGTTCGGGAGGCTGAGGCAGGAGAATCACTTGAACCGCGGCGGGCAGATCACCTGAGGTCGGGAGTTCAAGACCAGCCTGACCAACATGGTGAAACCCTGTCTTTTTTTTTTTTTTTTAAAGAGTTGTTTCCTGTCACCTCGGCTGGAACGGTTGAGTCCCCAGACATGCCAGGAGGATATTCTTGCTTAGGTTTGATTTCATATGGGAGACAGAGGCAGGCTTCCCCCTCAAAAAGGGCTCCCCCATGAGACAGATGCAGCCCAGAGAACTGTGTGCGTGGGGTGCTGGTTTCTGTGGAGACCGGAAGGTCTTTTGCTTTTCTGCCGGGAGAGAAGTGGGGTGACTCTCTGTAGTGTGGATGGGCGGTCCCCGAATGAGTGTGGGGTATGTGTGTGTGCCACCTGCTGCTTTCTCCCTGACGCTCCGGGACAGAGGGAAATGAGGATTTTCAGCTTGGGATGTGAGCAGCTCTTGCCACCAACGGCCTCTTCTTCTTTCTTTCTTTCTTCTTCTTTTCTTTCTTATCTTCTTTCTTTTTCTTCTTCTTTCTCGCTCTCTCTTTCTTTCTCCTCTCTCTGCTTCTCTTTCTTTCCTTCCTTACTTCTCTCTTTCTCTTTTTCTTTCTGCTTTTCTTCTTTCTCTTTCTTATTCTGTTTTTTCTTTTTCTCTTTCCTTTTCTTTCCTTCTTTCTCTTTGTTTTCCTCTCTTTCTATCTCCTTTCTTCTTTCTCTCTGGCCTTTCACTCTTTCTTCTTTTCTTCCTTCCATCTTTCTATTTCTTTCTTTTCTCTTCTTGTCTTCTTTTTTCCCTCTGTTTCTCTTATTCCTTCCTTTCTTCTTTCCTTCCTCCTTTCTACCTCTGTTCTCTTTCCTTCCTTCCTCTTTCTGTTTCTTTCATTCTTTCTCTCTCTCTTTCTCTCTTTTCTTTCTCTTCCTTTTTCTTTTCCTTCTTTCTTTTTTTCTCTATTTCTTTCTGTCTCTCACCTTTCATTCTTTCTCTCTTTTCATTTACTTGTCTCT